GGGCCATGAGGCCCAGGATCTGATTCGACATTTTGTGGCAGATATTGATTGGACATTCGGCAGGGAGACTATTTTTGGACTTCGCTATCACGATCTTGGTCTTCTCCATCACCTCCATCTTCATCTCGCCTCTCCCCCATCTCCTCATGCGTGGTATCTCCCCATGCGCGTGCTCAAGGAGGGACCTTTCTTCCATGTATGCAGTCCCTCCCCTCGCTCTCACATGTGTGGTGTATGATGGGTGTCGCGTCAGTATCTGACAGGTCAGGTCATATCTTTGAGTCTTCCGTTGCGCTACATTATGCTATTTTTGTATGTACCTGGATGTACATTGCTTGTAAATGCTTTGCTTACGCTGCATTGTCCATTCGAGTCCTTTTCATCACTTTGCGGATCCTTGGCTCCATATACATCGCTTGATTGAGCATGTATCAGGTGGATCCCCTCAGCTCCCTGTAAGCTAAACTGGGTAATGCTCCCAGCGGTTATCTTTCTCCGGGTAGACTTTTAGGACCGCGCCCTCAGTTGGTTCTGTTCGGTAATATATCATCATTTCTTTGCGAAAAAAAAAAAAAAAGCCGGACCCTCGAGGAAGCTTAGATGGGCCTCGCCGTACCAAAATCGGTGGAGTTCTCAACTTCTCACCACCGATAAAAGGCCTCCCAAACTCACCAGACGGGGCCCTCTTCGCACCACTATCTCACCGAACTTCTCTTTTCACGTTGTCGGGTGCAGACCGGTCGGCTGAAAGCAAGGCAAGAAAACAAAAAGTCGGTCCAGGTGCAGACCCCCCGTGTAGAAGTGCCTCCTACTCACTATTTGGGTGGGCTGCCTAGAGGACTCACCAAACTCCCCGCCTGCATCGGCAGTTTTCGTGAGTCCTCCTCACCAACGCTGCTTTCATGATTTACAGAAAGAGTTTGGTGGGGTGATGAGGCGACGCCAACCTCACCAAAATACGAGTTTCGTGAGTGGTGCAGCGAGGCCTGATAGATGTTAGAAAATCTGGCATTCAGAAGCCATGTTTGCGCTCCCTCTGCCGCCCGCCTGTGACGGCTCTTGTTTCGACAGCGGCAGTGCGGGCCTTTGAAAAGCGACGTGTGTAGACTACCTGCCAGCGTCAAAGATGTGACGACCTGAGTCTTTTGTCTTGTGGGCACCATGTGCACCGTGTTCAAAAGTGGCCTTTCGAATCCGTTCGCAGAGTGATCTGAGCCTTTCCTTGGAAGTCGAAACATATGAAAACTTCAAAAAAGTGAGTACATCTTCCCACAGAAGGTGGGGAAGATGCAGTCATTTTTGTTTTGCGACTTTTGTCTTGGCTGCCGATCTCCGCCACTCCGCCTCACAGCAGTATTGAACGCTGCCCCTCAAAATGACAGCCTCCAAAGTCCGCCTTTTCGACGGTGCTGTGTGGCGAAGGGGGGGAGTAAGCTCGAAGACGGGACTTTCCACTTTCAAGGTTTTCCTGACACGTATCGAAAAAAAAAGGGTGTTTTCGACGGTGGTGTGGCGAGCCCCTTTTCCAGACACCTGTCGAAAAAAAACAAAAAATTTGTATGACTGTACTTGTACAGGATCTATTTCGTATGTTGTACACTCCTCTATATGCACTATGAAATTATGAATAGTATTGAATACAGCCAATAAATAAATAAATAAATACACTAAGCTACCAGAGTGGCCTGGGCCCACTTGCCCGGCCAGGCCAAAAAAAAACACAAAAAAAGTTAAAAACAAAACAAAATAGATTTTTCTATTTGGTAAGGAATGTCGATTTGACCCTGAGGCAAAAGTTGTTCAGTTTATGTTTGTGCATAACATAGTTTTTTTTTTTCCAGATTTTTTGGATTTTTTTTTGTTTTTTGTTTTTTTTGCAGGTACCTTCCTTGGCCCTTGCCTGGCTGGGCCCCCCGGGCAACCAAGGTGACCCCGGCGGCCCAGTTCGTAGCCCAGTAAATAAATAAATAATAATAAATAAATCGATAAATCAATAAATCAATAAATCAATAAATCAATAAATCAATAAAATCAATGAATCAATAAATAAATTAATAAATAAATAAATAAATACAAGAGCTGCTGGTATGGCGCACGGGGCAGGATGTGCACTGTGCACCATGCGGTGCAGTTGCAAGTATGAAAGAGATTCGTCGTGCTCAGATGCAGAGAGCAGGGAGGAACTGGAACAGGCAGAAGGGCTGCCATCAGAGAGACATGAGGCTGAGAAAGGTGAAAGCCCTCCGACAACGCGCAAAAGAGGGCAAGAAAAAAAAATAACAGGAACGATGAGAGATATAGCAGGAGCAGGATCATATTTGTCTTCTTAAACAGAATGACGACTACATGCCACATGTCAACGTAGATTACACTCCTTCACGGTACTGAAAACCAGGCCCTGCACACCACAGAAGACTCTGTACTAGCAGACCACAAAAAGTCCCATGTGCATCCAATCCCTGGTCTCCTGTCAATACTTGAGAAACTTGAATGGATGTTCAGGTGGCAGCAGGTGTCTCCTTCACCTTCACCATTCCAAAACAGTGAGCGAAGATCGGTCAACTGCTAAATTAAGAAGAGAAAAAAAATTGTCAGAAGAATTCCCGATTACCATCTGCGAGTCCCGCTGCCAACTACTTAACAGAACACAAGAGGTCCCACATTGATTCAGAAGAAGCCAAAGCCAGAACCGTTTCCCCCCACCCCAACCCCCATCCTCGTCAAGATGGATGAGCAAAAAAGCCAACCTGAGGAACGGTATGAGCTGACACGCCTTTCCATAGCATC